GGTATGATAGGACTGTGTAACCCTATACAAACGACAGGGTCACACAAACATCTTGGGAACACGTATTGTCGCCTTTCTGTTCATTTCACAGGTGGGAGCCAGAAGAGAGGAGAGACGCACATACAGAAGAGGGAGACGGCTGCCTTATACCACACTCACGGCTGTTCCTCACCACCACGACGACCAGCCCCTACCTGGATGTCAGGGCCACCACCAAGACCACCACCACCCCAGGGGACCCCAAGATGTAGCCCTCTCGGTCGGTCAACATTGGTCTACCCAGTGGACCCCAGGACGGACGGACCCCAGGGGACCCCAAGACGGACGGACCCCCAGTGGACCCCAGGTCGTTCTGCAGACGACCCCAGACGACCCAGTAATGATGGAAGAGGAGCAACAACGACTCCAGTCTGTCCCACCAACATCGGTCTACCCAGGATGGACCCCAGGACGGACAGACCCCCAATGGACCCCAGGTCGCTTGTCTAAGACCCATGGGAGGAGGAAGAGAGAAGAAAGAAGAAGAAGAAAGAAGAAAGAAACAGAGAGAGAAAGAAGAGAGAAGAAAGAAAGAGAAAAGAAGAAGAGAAGATAAGACAAGCTGAGTGAGACATGATACCTAGTGTCCCTTGCTGGTGTCAGCATCATTGCATGGAGCGTAATTGCAAGACAGGATCGTTTGCCTTAACTGGCCGCCCCTCCTACAAGCATGTTGCTCTGTTGAGTGATTCTTCCTGTGTCATGCGGACTTGATGTGGCTGTCAGAAGTAGCTCTCTGAAGGAGGCGTGCTGGAGCAACAGGGAGGAAGAAGAGTAGGATGGGATTTCTACTGTTGGCAACTATATGAAGGTCTCGAAACTTGTAGTCCCTATAGCTGTGAAGAACCCCAATATACGTCTCTCATGGTGACTGACGTAGGGCCAATTACAGATCAGCTGGGACAACCGAATTCCACGGTCCTGTGCGCAGTTCAAGTAGTAACGGCTTTCGGGTTGACCAAGTGTTGTTGTGCGTTAACGACGGAGAAGCGACGGAGGCAGTTGTGTTGAAGAAATGTGGTACAGGATTATCTACAAGACCAAGCAGTGACGTCGCCCAGCCAGAGACAATGGACGTCTGTCTATATATTTCATTTTTTAGAGTAGGATGATGTATATTTGTTTAGCTAGGATGTATTTTTTTTTCGTTAATAAAGTTGTTGCACACAGCTAGCTTGCTTTAGCAGTGTTGCAAAAACTTTATTTCGGGGAGAAGGGGAGATGTAACACTGTAAAAGTGTTTGAGTTAGTTTATTTAAAATATATATAGAGTACATGAGTCACAGACAAGGATCTGAGAGGCGCCAGTTGTCTGCCTGAGATCTCACACCTCAAAGCGTTAATGACCTCAAGTGACCTGAGGTCAGATCATGAGAATTTCACCTTGCTTCCGCTAAGCTCTTAATTGTAGTCTGGTAGCCTTCAAACAAGCCGACGTTTAAGGAGTGGCTTGGTAGTGCCGGAGGCTATCTATTTGTGGGCGGAGTTAGCTACTAGGTTCCCCAATATAAACTCGGAGAGCTATCCAGAAAGGAGCATTAATCAAGAGAACAGCAGACGAGCAGAGCAGGGAGGCTGTCGGCCGGCAGGGCGGGAGTCTCTGTCAACTACAGACCCCCCCCCCCCTCTCTATCCAGCTATAGGCAGAGACACTTGGTGAGTTGAGCAGTAAGGTGACTTGGTCGTGTTTACATATGTTGTGTGATGATCAGGGGCAGTCAAGTTGTAGGGTTCTCGAATTCTTGGATGATGACTCACTTTGCATATTAAACTGGAACATTTTAATTGAATTGCTAAATTATGATACTTCATGTGAAATATAATTATGAATTTATTATTTAAATTGTGTTTAACTTTGTTCCCTAGAGATTTTGAGTTGAGGTGAGAAAGCCTCTGTAGTTACTGGTTTCATGGTTTAGAATGAGTACATGATAAAGATGGGAACTACTAATAATGAACTCATGATAACATCTTTGGTGAATTTTGTGATACAGGCAAGTTCCATTCCTTGTCTTGTATGTAATGATCATGAATGGATGGTGGCAGCATTTCTACTTCTACTATCTACTCTTCTACTACTACCTATCTATTCCTCTCCCTCCACCCCTCTCTGAACTCTCACTTTCAACTAATGACCCTCCTCGCTCCTCCCACCTCTCTACCTCTCACCCCAAACCCTCACTAATTACTTCACTTTTCATTTCTTTCCTTTCGTTTCCTCTTATACGTTTGTGGCAGTGATTATGTATTCTAGAGTTCTCTCTAGAGTTTCGGGTAACTGATCAAGTGACGGCGCCTTGTAGTCGTAGCACCTAGGTAGTCAAATACCTAGGTTACAAGGTGTTGAACGAGAGAGGTTGTCTTAGGAACTCTGGAGGTGCTCTAGAATAGTTAGCTAACTGGGGACGGGATAACGGACTAGAGAGAGCTGTTTCCCCCGGCCTCGTTAGTTAACTGGGGGGTGGAATAATGGACAAGATAGAGCTATTTCCCCCACCCCCCGTTACAAGGGGCACAAGATAACACCACACCGGAAGCCAGGGGGCACGCGATAACACCACACTGGAAGCCAGGGGCACAAGATAACACCACACCGGAAGCCAGGGGCACGCGATAACACCACACCGGAAGCCAGGGGCACGCGATAACACCACACTGGAAGCCAGGGGCACAAGAGAACACCACACTGGAAGCCAGGGGCACAAGATAACACCACACTGGAAGCCAGGGGCACGCGATAACACCACACTGGAAGCCAGGGGCACAAGATAACACCACACTGGAAGCCAGGGGCACGCGATAACACCACACTGGAAGCCAGGGGCACAAGATAACACCACACCGGAAGCCAGGGGCACAAGATAACACCACACTGGAAGCCAGGGGCACAAGATAACACCACACCGGAAGCCAGGGGCACGAGATAACACCACACCGGAAGCCAGGGGCACGCGATAACACCACACTGGAAGCCAGGGGCACAAGATAACACCACACCGGAAGCCAGGGGCACAAGTGGAGACATGATAATCGCTCAAAAATATTGTAAAATGACGTCCCTGCGAGAATTTATAAATAATTTGGGACTAGTTTTGTAAGCCATCAATAGGGAAGGTTAGGCAAGAGGCAACAGCTTTAAGATTTGTCTAGTATAGATAAAAAACAAGAGTGGTGTAGAGAGCCTGCTCTTGAGTGTGGTATGATGATATGGGGTCAACAAGAGTGGTGTAGAGAGCCTGCTCTTGAGTGTGGTATGATGATATGGGGTCAACAAGAGTGGTGTAGAGAGCCTGCTCTTGAGTGTGGTATGATGATATGGGGTCAACAAGAGTGGTGTAGAGAGCCTGCTCTTGAGTGTGGTATGATGATATGGGGTCAACAAGAGTGGGTAGAGAGCCTGCTCTTGAGTGTGGTATGATGATATGGGGTCAACAAGAGTGGTGTAGAGAGCCTGCTCTTGAGTGTGGTATGATGATATGGGGTCAACAAGAGTGGTGTAGAGAGCCTGCTCTTGAGTGTGGTATGATGATATGGGGTCAACAAGAGTGGTGTAGAGAGCCTGCTCTTGAGTGTGGTATGATGATATGGGGTCAACAAGAGTGGTGTAGAGAGCCTGCTCTTGAGTGTGGTATGATGATATGGGGTCAACAAGAGTGGTGTAGAGAGCCTGCTCTTGAGTGTGGTATGATGATATGGGGTCAACAAGAGTGGTGTAGAGAGCCTGCTCTTGAGTGTGGTATGATGATATGGGGTCAACAAGAGTGGTGTAGAGAGCCTGCTCTTGAGTGTGGTATGATGATATGGGGTCAACAAGAGTGGTGTAGAGAGCCTGCTCTTGAGTGTGGTATGATGATATGGGGTCAACAAGAGTGGTGTAGAGAGCCTGCTCTTGAGTGTGGTATGATGATATGGGGTCAACAAGAGTGGTGTAGAGAGCCTGCTCTTGAGTGTGGTATGATGATATGGGGTCAACAAGAGTGGTGTAGAGAGCCTGCTCTTGAGTGTGGTATGATGATATGGGGTCAACAAGAGTGGTGTAGAGAGCCTGCTCTTGAGTGTGGTATGATGATATGGGGTCAACAAGAGTGGTGTAGAGAGCCTGCTCTTGAGTGTGGTATGATGATATGGGGTCAACAAGAGTGGTGTAGAGAGCCTGCTCTTGAGTGTGGTATGATGATATGGGGTCAACAAGAGTGGTGTAGAGAGCCTGCTCTTGAGTGTGGTATGATGATATGGGGTCAACAAGAGTGGTGTAGAGAGCCTGCTCTTGAGTGTGGTATGATGATATGGGGTCAACAAGAGTGGTGTAGAGAGCCTGCTCTTGAGTGTGGTATGATGATATGGGGTCAACAAGAGTGGTGTAGAGAGCCTGCTCTTGAGTGTGGTATGATGATATGGGGTCAACAAGAGTGGTGTAGAGAGCCTGCTCTTGAGTGTGGTATGATGATATGGGGTCAACAAGAGTGGTGTAGAGAGCCTGCTCTTGAGTGTGGTATGATGATATGGGGTCAACAAGAGTGGTGTAGAGAGCCTGCTCTTGAGTGTGGTATGATGATATGGGGTCAACAAGAGTGGTGTAGAGAGCCTGCTCTTGAGTGTGGTATGATGATATGGGGTCAACAAGAGTGGTGTAGAGAGCCTGCTCTTGAGTGTGGTATGATGATATGGGGTCGGGCTCCTAACTATCAGTGTCAGCTAATTCCACTCTTTATAATAAATATAATACACTGGACACGATAATTCCAGCTCTACACTAACCACAAATATGGCAACCCGTTCTCGCACTTGCTTATAGTCAATATTGGCTTATTTAATAAGTGCATATGTGACATACTAATTGATTGTGAATATTTTAGTTTATCTTGAAGAGCATCATAGAAAACACCGACCTCACCTAACCTTCTTAGTATGTTAAGATAGGCATCTTATTGCTTCTTATTTACAATTATTACTTAACCTATCAACATTATAGGTTAAGTAATAATTGTAATTAAGAAGCAATAAGATGTTTATCTTAACATACTAAGAAGGTTAGGTGAGGTCGGTGTTTTCTATAAAGCTTTTCAAGGTAAACTAAAATATTCACAATCAATTAGTATGTCACATATGCACTTATTAAATAAGCCAATATTGACTAAAAGCAAGTGCGAGAATGGGTTGAATATGGAAGCCAAAGGTAAACACTGACACCCACACCATCACAGATACACGAATCTGCGCATTTCTTCAATTATTGAAGAAACTTTTAACAAATGATACGCCAATTCCAGTCTTGTTTAAACCATTCGGCTTAATCCTCCCCTGAATGTTCTGGCGGGACTTGGGGGCACCGACCCACCCTCCCTCGCCTCTGTCAACATGGACTGGTGGTGACTGGGCGTGGGGTAGCTACACCCACCCCGTTGGGCGGGGTTGTGGGTGGCGTTGCTACTGGGGTGCAGGCGTTACACCCACACCAGTACCTCTCTAAGTAACCGTGAGAGCACCACGGCGATCTGTTTACGGGCGCCGAGGGCACCAGTGTGACTGACCGCTGAATGGCGTTCAAAAACAGCTACGCTAAACGCTGGGATAGAAGGATAGAGCGGAGAAACTGTGCCCAAGCACTTGGACACTGAAGTTCGAACGCAGACCTTTTAAGAAAAGAGATCGTTCCTGTACCGACCAGTCCAAGTGGCTGGGGAGGACGAGGGAGAGAAGACTGGGGGCCCAGAAGTGGTCCCGTGGGACACGGTTGGCACTCATCCCACCCGGAGGTCAAACATCTAATGATATAAGACAGTTTGTTTAGGTCAGTTGCGAAGTACCAGTGACCAGACGCGGCCTCCACCGACCCCGTGTCCCGCAGGTGCCCAACAGGTGTGTCCAATAACCGGTGGTCACACACTCTTAAGAATATAGAATATGGTCTTAAGAATATAGTCTTAACAACAGAGATAAGGATACCTAGGTGTAATTCAACGTCATCTATGTTAAATGTTAATTTAGCTGCAATGTCTGTTATTATGATGGCTTATATTGATGAGATGGTAGGCATACAATAGAGATTCTTAACCCTTTATTCTGCGCAGAACGTTATTAATAATTGCTATTATGAGGTTCTTGTAGGACAAGTTTGCAAGTTCTTGACGTGCTTGAAGAATAGACTTTGAATCATAGATCCTTTTAACACGTGAATGAGGATGTGCATTCACGTGTTCGGACACTCACACTCTCCAGGTGAGTGTTCAGCCACACTCACAAGAAGGCAATAAGTCAAATATGAACCCTGATAGTCTTGGCTAACAACCATTTAGTATTCAAACACGCGAAAAAATCTGGAATAATTGAATGCACAACGACACAATTGACTTGTCACTGAGAAGCAGTGTGCCCACCACCACCACAGCCTCACTGGTGCAAGAGGAAGCGGTTTTACCTAGACCTCAACAAGCCCATCAACGAACTCAAGTCAATGTTAAAAGTACCCTGAGACTAGAGGCCAGACCGTAACACACAGGAGTGTGATAGAACGAAGGGCTGAGTGGAGTGACTACAGCCTCAGCAGGAAGTGAAGTAAGAGGGGGCCAGGAGCAGCTGCTAGCCTGGCACTCTGTAAGCCTCCCTCGGGTCGGGCCAAGGGTACCAGCCTCCCATGCAGTTCCTCTGTCTCGAAAACGTTCCGAATTTTCATTCTGGACACGTGAGTAACACGAACAGTTGTGTTACTCACGTGGCCCCAACATGCGAGGTGATTCGATGAAATACCTGCACCCCTAAAACTTACCATCGAGTGCTGTCGGGGTGTTGGGTAAAAGTGTCACGACTTCCAACATTTTTGTAGAGTCAGTATGGTCTAGTCAGTCAGACAGTCAGACAGCCCTCGCTATCTGGGTTTGAATCTTTCAGGGGATGAGGACTTTTCGGTTGCATATTGGCTTGGGGACAATTCAAGCTTCTTTGATATTATATACACACGCATATATATATATATATATATATATATATATATATATATATATATATATAACTGAAAACTCACACCCCAGAAGTGACTCGAACCCATACTCCCAGAAGCAACGCAACTCGTATGTACAAGACGCCTTAATCCACTTGACCATCACGACCGGACATAATGAGGTGATAGCCGAGGCTATTTGAACCACCCCACCGCCGGCACTCTGATAGTAATCTTGGGCATAGCATTTTACCAAATCACCTCATTCTTTGGGGCACACGTGAGGAACACAAATGCGAACAAGCCTGAATGGTCCCCAGGACAATATGCAACTGAAAACTCACACCCCAGAAGTGACTCGAACCCATACTCCCAGAAGCAACGCAACTGGTATGTACAAGACGCCTTAATCCACTTGACCATCACGACCGGACATAATGAGGTGATAGCCGAGGCTATTTGAACCACCCCACCGCCGGCACTCTGATAGTAATCTTGGGCATAGCATTTTACCAAATCACCTCATTCTTTGGGGCACACGTGAGGAACACAAATGCGAACAAGCCTCAATGGTCCCCAGGACAATATGCAACTGAAAACTCACACCCCAGAAGTGACTCGAACCCATACTCCCAGAAGCAACGCAACTGGTATGTACAAGACGCCTTAAGCCACTTGACCATCACGACCGGACATAATGAGGTGATAGCCGAGGCTATTTGAACCACCCCACCGCCGGCACTCGGATAGTAATCTTGGGCATAGCATTTTACCAAATCACCTCATTCTTTGGGGCACACGTGAGGAACACAAATGCGAACAAGCCTGAATGGTCCCCAGGACAATATGCAACTGAAAACTCACACCCCAGAAGTGACTCGAACCCATACTCCCAGAAGCAACGCAACTGGTATGTACAAGACGCCTTAATCCACTTGACCATCACGACCGGACATAATGAGGTGATAGCCGAGGCTATTTGAACCACCCCACCGCCGGCACTCTGATAGTAATCTTGGGCATAGCATTTTACCAAATCACCTCATTCTTTGGGGCACACGTGAGGAACACAAATGCGAACAAGCCTGAATGGTTCCCAGGACAATATGCAACTGAAAACTCACACCCCAGAAGTGACTCGAACCCATACTCCCAGAAGCAACGCAACTGGTATGTACAAGACGCCTTAATCCACTTGACCATCACGACCGGACATAATGAGGTGATAGCCGAGGCTATTTGAACCACCCCACCGCCGGCACTCTGATAGTAATCTTGGGCATAGCATTTTACCAAATCACCTCATTCTTTGGGGCACACGTGAGGAACACAAATGCGAACAAGCCTGAATGGTCCCCAGGACAATATGCAACTGAAAACTCACACCCCAGAAGTGACTCGAACCCATACTCCCAGAAGCAACGCAACTGGTATGTACAAGACGCCTTAATCCACTTGACCATCACGACCCCAAAGAATGAGGTGATTTGGTAAAATGCTATGCCCAAGATAACTATCCGAGTGCCGGCGGTGGGGTGGTTCAAATAGCCTCGGCTATCACCTCATTATGTCCGGTCGTGATGGTCAAGTGGATTAAGGCGTCTTGTACATACCAGTTGCGTTGCTTCTGGGAGTATGGGTTCGAGTCACTTCTGGGGTGTGAGTTTTCAGTTGCATATTGTCCTGGGGACCATTCAGGCTTGTTCGCATTTGTGTTCCTCACGTGTGCCCCAAAGAATGAGGTGATTTGGTAAAATGCTATGCCCAAGATTACTATCCGAGTGCCGGCGGTGGGTGGTTCAAATAGCCTCGGCTATCACCTCATTATGTCCGGTCGTGATGGTCAAGTGGATTAAGGCGTCTTGTACATACCAGTTGCGTTGCTTCTGGGAGTATGGGTTCGAGTCACTTCTGGGGTGTGAGTTTTCAGTTGCATATTGTCCTGGGGACCATTCAGGCTTGTTCGCATTTGTGTTCCTCACGTGTGCCCCAAAGAATGAGGTGATTTGGTAAAATGCTATGCCCAAGATTACTATCCGAGTGCCGGCGGTGGGGTGGTTCAAATAGCCTCGGCTATCACCTCATTATGTCCGTCGTGATGGTCAAGTGGATTAAGGCGTCTTGTACATACCAGTTGCGTTGCTTCTGGGAGTATGGGTTCGAGTCACTTCTGGGGTGTGAGTTTTCAGTTGCATATTGTCCTGGGGACCATTCAGGCTTGTTCGCATTTGTGTTCCTCACGTGTGCCCCAAAGAATGAGGTGATTTGGTAAAATGCTATGCCCAAGATTACTATCCGAGTGCCGGCGGTGGGGTGGTTCAAATAGCCTCGGCTATCACCTCATTATGTCCGGTCGTGATGGTCAAGTGGATTAAGGCGTCTTGTACATACCAGTTGCGTTGCTTCTGGGAGTATGGGTTCGAGTCACTTCTGGGTGTGAGTTTTCAGTTGCATATTGTCCTGGGGACCATTCAGGCTTGTTCGCATTTGTGTTCCTCACGTGTGCCCCAAAGAATGAGGTGATTTGGTAAAATGCTATGCCCAAGATTACTATCCGAGTGCCGGCGGTGGGGTGGTTCAAATAGCCTCGGCTATCACCTCATTATGTCCGGTCGTGATGGTCAAGTGGATTAAGGCGTCTTGTACATACCAGTTGCGTTGCTTCTGGAGTATGGGTTCGAGTCACTTCTGGGGTGTGAGTTTTCAGTTGCATATTGTCCTGGGGACCATTCAGGCTTGTTCGCATTTGTGTTCCTCACGTGTGCCCCAAAGAATGAGGTGATTTGGTAAAATGCTATGCCCAAGATTACTATCAGAGTGCCGGCGGTGGGGTGGTTCAAATAGCCTCGGCTATCACCTCATTATGTCCGGTCGTGATGGTCAAGTGGATTAAGGCGTCTTGTACATACCAGTTGCGTTGCTTCTGGGAGTATGGGTTCGAGTCACTTCTGGGGTGTGAGTTTTCAGTTGCATATTGTCCTGGGGACCATTCAGGCTTGTTCGCATTTGTGTTCCTCACGTGTGCCCCAAAGAATGAGGTGATTTGGTAAAATGCTATGCCCAAGATTACTATCAGAGTGCCGGCGGTGGGGTGGTTCAAATAGCCTCGGCTATCACCTCATTATGTCCGGTCGTGATGGTCAAGTGGATTAAGGCGTCTTGTACATACCAGTTGCGTTGCTTCTGGGAGTATGGGTTCGAGTCACTTCTGGGGTGTGAGTTTTCAGTTGCATATTGTCCTGGGGACCATTCAGGCTTGTTCGCATTTGTGTTCCTCACGTGTGCCCCAAAGAATGAGGTGATTTGGTAAAATGCTATGCCCAAGATTACTATCAGAGTGCCGGCGGTGGGGTGGTTCAAATAGCCTCGGCTATCACCTCATTATGTCCGGTCGTGATGGTCAAGTGGATTAAGGCGTCTTGTACATACCAGTTGCGTTGCTTCTGGGAGTATGGGTTCGAGTCACTTCTGGGGTGTGAGTTTTCAGTTGCATATTGTCCTGGGGACCATTCAGGCTTGTTCGCATATATATATATATATATATATATATATATATATATATATATATATATATATATATATATATATATATATATATATATATATATATATATATATATATATATGTTTATACTATGTATAAAAGTATTTATACATAGTATAAACCACTAATTGAGTTTATACATACTCAATTAGTATGTATAAAAAGAGAATGTCCGAGGTTGGAGACCAGATGCCTGTGGTTAGGTTGTTGTTATAGATTCAGCTACTCGGAACACGTTCCAAGCAGCACGGGCTATGGTGAGCCCGTATGCAGTTAGGGTCGTGCGACTTTTAATAGTGGTGTGTGACTGTGTGCGGGAGTGTGGCAGCGAGGACAGGGGCCCCATGCCCGTCTTCAAGTAGAACTGGCTCCTATTGCACCAACCAGTGACTCCTATTAAGTCTGAAATGGTTTTTCACTAAAGTTTTGCTGTCAGATTTCTTCAGCTGTTCATGGCACACACACAACATTAGACACAACTGTGCTACAATGTTGCTAAATAAGGTTGTGGCTACGTTGTTTTTGTGTTGTATTTCAGTGAGAGAGAGAGAGAGAGAGAGAGAGAGAGAGAGAGAGAGAGAGAGAGAGAGAGAGAGAGAGAGAGAGAGAGAGAGAGAGAGAGAGAGAGAGAGAGAGAGAGAGAGAGAGAGAGTACTCACCTAGTTGTGCTTGCGGGGGCTGAGCTCTGGCTCTTTGATCCCGCCTCTCAACTGTCAATCAACTGGTGTACAGATTCCTGAGCCTATTGGGCTCTATCATATCTACACTTGAAACTGTGTATGGAGTCAGCCTCCACCACATCACCCCCTAATGCAATCCATTTGTCAACCACTCTGACACTAAAAAAGTTCTTTCTAATATCTTTGTGGCTCATTTGGGCACTCAGTTTCCACCTGTGTCCCCTTGTGTTAAATAGCCGGTCTTTATCTACCCTATCAATTCCCTTGAGAATCTTGAATGTGGTGATCATGTCCCCCCTAACTCTTCTGTCTTCCAGCGAAGTGAGGTTTAATTCCCGTAGTCTCTCCTCGTAGCTCATACCTCTCAGCTCGGGTACTAGTCTGGTGGCAAACCTTTGAACCTGTGTGTGTGTGTGTGTGTGTGTGTGTGTGTGTTGTGTGTGTGCTGTGTGTGTGTGTGTGTGTGTGTGTGTGTGTGTGTGTGTGTGTGTGTGTGTGTGTGTGTGTGTGTGTGTGTGTGTGTGTGTGTGTGTGTGTGTGTGTGTGTGTGCGTGCGTGCGTGCGTGCGTGCGTGCGTGCGTGCGTGCGTGACGCCAGGAGAGGGAAGGCCAATAGGACTACGCCAACCGGCTCACACTGATGTCACTGGTGTAAACAACTTGACACGCGCGCCATCTTTAAATCCCCGCGATCTGCACGCGCGTGCACTGTAAACCAGCACAATACACCGTCATTAACCCGCACCCAAATACCGTTGGTATTCGATGCCTAATTAACGTGCAGTGACCCGTCCTCTGTTGGTACACTGTAAATAGATATTAAAACCTTTGGCCTACTCTTGCAAACTTTAAACATTTTAGGCAACTATATTAACCTAGGTGGTGGTGGGCTGGGGTGTGTGGGAGTGTGGTGGTGGGCAGTGGTGTGTGGGAGTGTGGTGTTGGGCAGTGGTGTGTGGGAGTGTGGTGTTGGGCAGTGGTGTGTGGGAGTGTGGTGGTGGGCAGTGGTGTGTGGGAGTGGTGGTGGGCAGGGGTGTGTGTGAGTGTGGTGGTGGTGGGCAGGGGTGTGTGTGAGTGTGGTGGTGGTGGGCAGTGGTGTGTGGGAGTGTGGTGGTGGTGGGCAGTGGTGTGTGGGAGTGTGGTGTTGGGCAGTGGTGTGTGGGAGTGTGGTGTTGGGCAGTGGTGTGTGGGAGTGTGGTGGTGGTGGGCAGTGGTGTGTGGGTGTGGTGTTGGGCAGTGGTGTGTGGGAGTGTGGTGTTGGGCAGTGGTGTGTGGGAGTGTGGTGGTGGGCAGTGGTGTGTGGGAGTGTGGTGGTGGGCAGTGGTGTGTGGGAGTGTGGTGGTGTTGGGCAGTGGTGTGTGAGAGTGTGGTGGTGTTGGGCAGTGGTGTGTGGGAGTGTGGTGGTGGGCAGTGGTGTGTGGGAGTGTGGTGGTGGGCAGTGGTGTGTGGGAGTGTGGTGGTGGGCAGTGGTGTGTGGGAGTGTGGTGGTGGTGGGCAGTGGTGTGTGGGAGTGTGGTGGTGGGCAGTGGTGTGTGGGAGTGTGGTGGTGGGCAGTGGTGTGTGGGAGTGTGGTGGTGTTGGGCAGTGGTGTGTGAGAGTGTGGTGGTGGGCAGTGGTGTGTGGGAGTGTGGTGGTGGGCAGTGGTGTGTGGGAGTGTGGTGGTGTTGGGCAGTGGTGTGTGGGAGTGTGGTGGTGGGCAGTGGTGTGTGGGAGTGTGGTGGTGGGCAGTGGTGTGTGGGAGTGTGGTGGTGGGCAGTGGTGTGTGGGAGTGTGGTGGTGGTGGGCAGTGATGTGTGGGAGTGTGGTGGTGGGCAGTGGTGTGTGGGAGTGTGGTGGTGGGCAGTGGTGTGTGGGAGTGTGGTGGTGTTGGGCAGTGGTGTGTGAGAGTGTGGTGGTGGGCAGTGGTGTGTGGGAGTGTGGTGGTGGGCAGTGGTGTGTGGGAGTGTGGTGGTGTTGGGCAGTGGGTGTGTGAGAGTGTGGTGGTGTTGGGCAGTGGTGTGTGGGAGTGTGGTGGTGGGCAGTGGTGTGTGGGAGTGTGGTGGTGGTGGGCAGTGGTGTGTGGGAGTGTGGTGGTGGTGGGCAGTGGTGTGGGAGTGTGGTGGTGTTGGGCAGTGGTGTGTGGGAGTGTGGTGGTGGGCGTGGGAGTGTGGTGGTGGGCAGTGGTGTGTGGAGTGTGGTGGTGTTGGGCAGTGGTGTGTGAGAGTGTGGTGGTGGGCAGTGGTGTGTGAGAGTGTGGTGTGGGCAGTGGTGTGTGGGAGTGTGGTGTTGGGCAGCGGTGTGTGGGAGTGTGGTGGTGGTGGGCAGTGGTGTGTGGGAGTGTGGTGGTGGTGGGCAGTGGTGTGTGGGTGTGGTGGTGGGCAGTGGTGTGGGAGTGTGGTGGTAGTGGGCAGGGGTGTGGGAGTGTGGTGGTAGTGGGCAGGGGTGTGGGAGTGTGGTGGTAGTGGGCAGGGGTGTGGGAGTGTGGTGGTGGGCAGTGGTGTGGGTGTGTGGTGGTGGGCAGGGGTGTGGGAGTGTGGTGGTGGACAGTGGTGTGGGAGTGTGGTGGTGGGCAGGGGTGTGGGAGTGTGGTGGTGGGCAGGGGTGTGTGTGGGAGTGTGGTGGTGGGCAGGGGTGTGGGAGGTGGATGGTATCGATGCGCGAGGTGACAGCAGGGTCGACTGGGGTGAGGACTGAGGGGTCGAGGTATGAGTTCTTCATGTTGTTCCGTCGTGTTCAGTTGAACACAGCGTACAATGTCTCGGTGAATAATTGCTCAGTATACCCTCCGCCGTGCAGGCTTTGTAACAAATGTCTCCAGAATAAGCACGGAGGCGGACCAAAGCTTGGGTGGGCCGCCACAGCCTCATGGATCCACCACATCACGGGGTGTGGTTTGCCTAACATACAAAAGGTGTGTTGTGGCGGTATTCACCAGGTGTGGCCAGCGTACAGCCACATCAGAGGGTGTAGTTGGAGTGTGGCAGGAATACGGCAGCATCAGGGAGTGTGGCCAGCATACACCAGGTATATGGCCAGCAGCCTTCCTCGGCCAGCTCTACCGTCTGGCAGCATGAACGGCGCCCAGCCAGCGACCATCTCCCAGCCAGCGACCATCTCCCAGCCAGCGACCATCGCCCAGCCAGCGACCATCACCCAGCCAGCGACCATCTCTCAGCCAGCGACCATCCCCCAGCCAGCGACCATCTCCCAGCCAGCGACCATCTCCCAGCCAGCGACCATCACCCAGCCAGCGACCATCTCTCAGCCAGCGACCATCCCCCAGCCAGCGACCATCTCCCAGCCAGCGACCATCTCCCAGCCAGCGACCATCACCCAGCCAGCGACCATCACCCAGCCAGCGACCATCACCCAGCCAGCGACCATCACCCAGCCAGCGACCATCTCCCAGCCAGCGACCATCACCCAGCCAGCGACCATCTCCCAGCCAGCGACCATCACCCAGCCAGCGACCATCACCCAGCCAGCGACCATCACCCAGCCAGCGACCATCTCCCAGCCAGCGACCATCTCCCAGCCAGCGACCATCACCCAGCCAGCGACCATCTCCCAGCCAGCGACCATCTCCCAGCCAGCGACCATCTCCCAGCCAGCGATCATCACCCAGCCAGCGACCATCTCCCAGCCAGCAACCATCACCCAGCCAGCGACCATCACCCAGCCAGCGACCATCTCCCAGCCAGCGACCATCTCCCAGCCAGCGACCATCTCCCAGCCAGCGACCATCTCCCAGCCAGCGACCATCTCCCAGCCAGCGCCCGTGTAGCAGCAGCCGCTGACGGCGCATTGTGGCTTCTGCTCCCCAGCGACGCCCTCGACCAGTGTTCAAATAGAGACAGCGAAGCCAGAGAGAAGGTGTGAGAGTAAGTTTGACTCTGGAGTCGGGTATATAGGGCGAGATTAATGCCAGGTGTGACACAGGAGCCAGGTATACCAGGAGTGACAAGTCAGATATAAAACAGGAGCCCGGAATGACGGGGGACCAGGTGTTACGGGATCCAGGTATGACACAGGGTCCAGGTGTATCACAGATGCCAGTTGTGATATGGAAACCAAGTATGACACAGCGGACTGGTGTGTCAGGCCGGCATGACATAGACGCCAGGTGTGACATATGAAAGGTAGGTCGCAGAAGACAGGTGTTCTATGACATAGGGAGCCAGGTGTGTCAAGAACCAACTGCAACATTTGGGACAGGTATAACATAAGGGCCAGGTGTAGCATTGAACCAGGTGTGACGCAGGAGGCAGGTATAGCATTGAACCAGGTGTGACATAGGGGCCAGGTGTGACACATTAGACAGGTGTAACATAGGGGGTCAGGTGTAGCATTGGGCCAGGTGTGACAGCGGCCAGGTGTGTGACACATTAGACAGGGTGACATAAAGACCAGGTGTGACACAGGAGCCAGGTGTGACAAGGACCAGGTGGGACATAAGAACCAGGTGTTACACAGGAGCCAGGTGTGACAGGTGAGAACCTGACGCCAGGTGCGAGTTGTATGGCACAAATCAGTGATTATAAAACATGCTTTAGGCCAACCGTGTCAACAATTATGCAAATTATAAGTACAAGTATACACACATTTATTTATGTTGTATTGTGGCCTTAGTGTGGCGACCAGTCACAGTTAGTTATCCAGCGTTGTGTACACATTGGTGAGAAATAAAATAGAAAATCACACACACAATTTTTTTTTCAAATATACGAACGGCTTAGACATTAAATATTGGTGTAAGAGGTGCAGACACGCCAGCAACGCTCACCTTTACTACACTGGAGGGTTTGCGCTTGTGAGCCATTTCGCTGCACCCAGAAGCAAGTCGCTGAAGGGAAGCTATATAACCCTATAGAATTTAAAAGACATCCCTGAATATCTTCCCGCTGTCAACACGTCAGTAAATTTTATCTTCCTCTCCACACCTTCCGCCACTTACTCATCTTCGGGTCACGCTTGAATTGTTCACTCAGATATTAATTAAGCGGCGTTGATTAACAGGCAGTTACGGATACAAGTGAGTAGGGACGCGACCCGTCCTCCGCGGTAGCGAGAGCCACACTGGGCGGCCAACACTGCCACAACCTCCAAGTCCGCTCCTCCTGGCCAGCGCAGTTGCCGCCTCCCTATTTTTCACCCATTCTAAAGATCCCTAAAACTTTTATCAGCCGGTATTTCAGCATCAAGTTTCACTACTCAGACTTCATCCGTGTCCCAAATGACAGCCATCCAAGTGGCGGTGGAGGGGCGCACGAGGAGCAGCTAGTGCACAGAAAATGAAGGCGAGTGGGAGCACATCCTAGCAACCACCTCAAGGGCTTGCTGCCACAAAATTGGATTTCGTGTCTTCCAAATAAAATACCAGACGGAAAAGGTTGTGTGACTTAGGGCAGATTTCTCCTTTGCTGATATGACACCAGACATTGATTTCCTTCAAAAGCCAGAATGCACATTATATATATATATATATATATATATATATATATATATATATATATATATATATATATATATATATATATATATATATATATATATATATATATATTATATATAAAATCGCTGATCTACTAAATGCGGAAATTTGAAATATAAAATAATTGCTTACAACTTTCTCAGGTCATTCTTAACAGCTTGACTGGGAGGAAGTGTTGACAATGACCTAAGAAGGTCTTACTGTATTGTTGTATACATATGTTAATGTATATAAACAAAAGTTACTTTAATGAATTGGGCATAAACCTTCTCTGTATTTCTTAGGTTCTTCGGCACTTGGCATATAAGTTATACAATTACAATTCAGTCTCCAATGTTAATTTTACTCCTTTAATGGGCTTAGCATCCTCACAAGCAGAGGAGAAGTAAATACTCAAACAATATCTAGTCCCCTGTGTCAAGGGGACAGGTCGCCACCCTGTGTCAAGGGGACAGGTCGCCACCCTGTGTCAAGGTGACAGGTCGCCACCCTGTGTCAAGGGGACAGGTGGTCACCCTGTGTCAAGGGGACAGGTAGTCACCCTGTGTCAAGGGGACAGGTGGTCACCCTGTGTCAAGGGGACAGGTGGTCACCCTATGTCAAGGGGACAGGTGGTCACCCTGTGTCAAGGGGACAGGTCGCCACCCTGTGTCAAGAGGACAGGTCGCCACCCTATGTCAAGGGACAGGTGGTCACCCTGTGTCAAGGGGACAGGTGGTCACCCTGTGTCAAGGGGACAGGTCGCCACCCTGTGTCAAGAGCACAGGTGGTCACCCTGTGTCAAGGTGACAGGTCGCCACCCTGTGTCAAGGTGACAGGTCGCCACCCTGTGTCAAGAGGACAGGTCGCCACCCTGTGTCAAGGGGACAGGTCGCCACCCTGTGTCAAGAGGACAGGTCGCCACCCTGTGTCAAGAGGACAGGTAGTCACCCTATGTCAAGGGGACAGGTGGTCACCCTGTGTCAAGGGGACAGGTCGCCACCCTGTGTCAAGAGGACAGGTCGCCACCCTATGTCAAGGGGACAGGTGGTCACCCTGTGTCAAGGGGACAGGTGGTCACCCTGTGTCAAGGGGACAGGTCGCCACCCTGTGTCAAGAGCACAGGTGGTCACCCTGTGTCAAGGTGACAGGTCGCCACCCTGTGTCAAGGTGACAGGTCGCCACCCTGTGTCAAGAGGACAGGTCGCCACCCTGTGTCAAGGGGACAGGTCGCCACCCTGTGTCAAGAGGACAGGTCGCCACCCTGTGTCAAGAGGACAGGTAGTCACCCTATGTCAAGGGGACAGGTGGTCACCCTGTGTCAAGGGGACAGGTCGCCACCCTGTGTCAAGAGGACAGGTCGCCACCCTGTGTCAAGAGCACAGGTAGTCACCCTGTGTCAAGGTGACAGGTCGCCACCCTATGTCAAGGGGACAGGTGGTCACCCTGTGTCAAGGGGACAGGTAGTCACCCTGTGTCAAGGTGACAGGTCGCCACCCTGTGTCAAGAGGACAGATGGTCACCCTATGTCAAGGGGACAGGTGGTCACCCTATGTCACGGGGACAGGTAGTCACCCTATGTCAAGGGGACAGGTGGTCACCCTATGTCAAGGGACAGGTGGTCACCCTATGTCACGGGGACAGGTAGTCACCCTATGTCAAGGTGACAGGTAGTCACCCTATGTCAAGGGGACAGGTGGTTACCCTATGTCAAGGGGACAGGTAGTCACCCTGTGTCAAGGGGACAGGTCGCCACCCTGTGTCAAGAGGACAGATGGTCACCCTATGTCAAGGGGACAGGTGGTCACCCTATGTCACGGGGACAGGTAGTCACCCTATGTCAAGGGGACAGGTGGTCACCCTATGTCAAGGGGACAGGTAGTCACCCTGTGTCAAGGTGACAGGTAGTCACCCTATGTCAAGGGGACAGGTGGTCACCCTGTGTCAAGGTGACAGGTCGCCACCCTGTGTCAAGGAGAGAGGTTAATCTGGTGGTGCCTCATTGGGCAGTTCTCTCTGGTCTTACTGAACGAAAAACTAACCTAAATATATAATGCCTTGATAATCATTGGATGAATATGTTGGGACGTCAAGTGCTCCTGCTATACGAACTCTTTTATTATCGCTCTCAGTCAATTACTTGGGTACTGGTGGTCAGGATCTGAACGTCTGGTGATGGTCTGAATGTGTACTGAAGTGATCTTTGATGGAACTTTGTTAATAATAATATATAATCCACCCCCTTGAAGGTTACATTAATTTGTTCACCCTTGATCTTGTTCAGGAAATGTTCACCTGGATCTTGTGTTCAGTGGTGGAAGGTGTCATATGTCTGTCATTGGCGTCCTTCAGGGCTTTTCGTCTCTGTTGTGATCCATATAGGGAGCCGGTCGGCCGAGCGGACAGCACACTGGACTTATGATCCTGTGGTCCCGGATTCGATCCCGGGCGCCGGCAAGAAACAATGGGCAGAGTTTCTTTCACCCTATGCCCCTGTTACCTAGCAGTAAAATAGGTACCAGGGTGTTAGTCAGCTGTCACGGGCTGCTTCCTGGGGGTGGAGGCCTGGTCGAGGACCGGGCCGCGGGGACACTAAAGCCCAGAAATCATCTCAAGATAACCTCAAGATATCAAAATAGTTCTCATCACGCAGAACTTTGTCACGATAACAGTCACACGCCCGAGTTACTGTTCCCCGCTCTCACACCATACATAAAAACCCTCTGACTTCGTTGAACATTTTCTTATACAGTCGCAATTGTGTTTCATCATTAATGCATAAGTAACCACTATGGATAAATATAATTTTGGGGGAACTATGGATAACCACTATGGATAAATATAATTTTCACGGGAACGATTATTTTCGATAGTCCAATAATTCTGATTATTGTAACAAACGGTTTAATAGATATCTGCAGAGACGTCATCAGTCAATCTGTGATTATTTAAGACAGGTACCACTTAAAATGTGATTAGTTTATCAGTGGATAATTAAAGCAAATATAATCTACGATTAAACAGACAATATTTAGCAAATTCACATTTTCACGCACTTTTCGCATCTTTAATATAATCACCACATTATAATTAGCTTATAAGTGAGTTCACTATTGATTTTTTTGTTTGTACCAACTGAAAACATTAGCTGTGAGAATGAGAACAAAGACAGCTGCCTACCTTCCACGCGACGTGGTTGAAGTTGTTGTTGTTGTGGATGTAATTGTTGTTTTTGTTGAGAGTGGTGGAGGCCCGGCAGTGCTTGAGGTAGATGCTAGTGAAGGGCAGCCTGTAGTCGACCTGGTGGCTGACCACACTCACGTGCTTGCTGTACTCCCGCTCCTCTGCCTCCTCCTCCTGCTCCTGCTTCTTCCACTCCTCTTCCTTTTCTTTCGCTTCTCGCTCCTTCTCTGCTTCCTCCTTCTCGTCCTTCTTCTTCTGCTGCTTCTCTTGCCTCTCTTCGTGTTCCTGCTTTTGTTTTTGCTGCTTTAATTGTTGCTGTTGTTGTTCTCGGTGTTCTTTTTGCTGTTTTTGTTTTTCCTTTTCAAGCTGTGGTGAGTGTTGGTGGTCTAGGTGGGTTTGTTGGTGGTGGTTGTGGTGGTGGTGGTGTTGGTGGTGCTGTTGAAGGTGCTGCTGCTGCTGCTGCTGCAAGAGTGTTGGAGGGTGGTGGTGTGTGTGGTGATGGTGCGCATGCTGCAGGTGGTGGTGTTGCTGGTGGTGGTGCTGTGGGTGGTGGTGCTGTGGGTGATGGTGCTGGTGGTGAAGGCGGACGGGAGAAGCGTACTGTGGCTCTTCCTTCACGGTCACGTCCTGGGAGTGGCGGCTGTGAGAGACAGAGAGAGTCCTACATGTTATATCTGTACCTCACAGGCGTCTCCTCACACACCCATGCGCCTCCTCATACACACAGGCGTCTCCTCACACACACACACAAACACAGACGCCTCCTCTCTCACAAACACACATGCGCACACACGTTATTTACACACACACACACACACACACATCTCACGGCAAGAGCCAGAGAAGACAAGGACACGTTTGGAAAAGGTGTTGCTCCCCGAACACTGGGACACAGGTGGCAAGTGTCCGAAGGGCATAACACATGAACATGTGAAGAGAGGTAACGCCAGAAGCCATACCAGCCCACGCGAGGCAGTTCCCAATTACACACAAGCACACTCATTCATGCACGTATGTAACCTGTGCTGTGATAACAGCCAGCGATCACACGGGTATTATGTTACTTGGAAATTAGTTCCATACATCTACCACCTTATTCACACACTAATACATGCCCAGACATTTCTGCATCTAAACTTTCTATGCCATATTACTATTTTCCTTGTTTTAAACTCTTCCTCATTTTGTATACAGGAATTCTATGTCCTCCTTTACTCTTTGTCTTTCTAGAGAAGGTGAATTATGTTAAGCATAAGGGATGCCTTAAATTCCTGGGATTAACTTTATTTTTTCTACCTACGGTCAAGTACATTTATTTCTATTCCGTGGCACAGTGCCCAAAACTGAACTGCATAATGTAAAGGGAACCCAGTGAGGGCAAGACAGTGCTGAACACAATAACAGACGCTGAAGGGCAAGTCCCACAACCATGGCTTACCCTGTATGTATGTGTATGTGGGTGTGTGTGTATGTGGGTGTGGGTGTATGTGGGGTGTGGGTGTATGTGGGTGTGGGGTGTGTGGACTTAATTGTGCTTGTGAGGGTCAGACTCGGCTTTTGGTCTAGTCTCTAAACTCTGAATTAACAGATGTATAGGATCTTAGACCTAATGGTTTCTGTTATATACGAAACTTTGTATGAATTCTGCCTCGCCATTGTACATCTTAGTGCCCCACATTTCTTCACTATTCTCACACTGAAAAATATTAAATTATAATGTCTCTGGGGCTCATTTGGTTACCGAGTTTCCACATGTGACCCCTCGTTCGGGCACCACTCGCGCCAAATAATCTGTCATTGGCTCCCCCTATCAATACCCCTGAGAATTTTGTACGTGGTAGTCATGTCTCACTTTACCCTTTTTTTTGTATTTCCAGTGAAGTGAGGTTTAATTTCCATTAACTTTCCTCATTACTCAACCTCTCATTTCTAGGACTAGTCTGGTCATGTGCCTCTGGGCATTCTCCAACTTCATTTTGTTTTTGACATGGCAAGGACTCCACCATGGAGTAGACTGCCACAGCACACCTTCACACACACACACACACACACACACACACACACACACACACACACACACACACACACACACACACACACACACACACACACACACACCTAGTTCATCTTACCTATTAGGTGGTTGAGGCGGGGCAGAAGGTGGTGGCGGCGGCGGCGGGGGCAGGTTTGGCAAGGGCAGGGTTGGTGGGGGCACCGGCAGGTTAGCGACGCCCAGAGGAACGCCCAGGCCGACGTGGACGCCGACGGAGCGCCGAGGACACTCCGTACACAACACCAGGAACTTGGTGACGGCCTCCCGGGGCACGAAGGCGTAGCGCTCAGACACCTGCCGGGGGAAGGAGACCGGTCTCATTGGTACACACTATACTGCCACCTCACACCATCATTATATCAACCTAAGACATAGTGAAGTACACCATCTTCCCAGTGAGAGACAAAGGTCTGTTTACACACAAACATTTTTCGTTGATTTTAAAACTTTTCGAGGTAGAAGGGAGCCGGTCGGCCGAGCGGACAGCACGCTGGACTTGTGATCCTGTGGTCCTGGGTTCGATCCCAGGCGCCAGCGAGAAATAATGGGCAGAGTTTCTTTCACCCTATGCCCCTGTTACCTAGCAGTAAAATAGGTACCTGGGTGTTAGTCAGCTGTCACGGGCTGCTTCATGGGGGTGGAGGCCTGGTCGAGGACCGGGCCGCGGGGACTTTAAAGCCCCGAAATCATCTCAAGATGACCTCAAGATAAGCCTCCACACCGTTGAAATCTGCATTAGACAAATCTGAAACCTTTCCTACATGCTCAGCCCTGATCTTATAGTTTCAACACCCTAGTGATGCCACATTTATTTAGACCTTACATAGGTGTATAGAGTGCAGCCAGGTGTCTCACTGGATCTCTCACGGGGCGGGGACTCACGGGGCGGGGACTCACGGGGCGGGGGACTCAGGGGCGGGGGACTCACGGGGCGGGGACTCACGGGGCGGGGGGGACTCACGGGGGGGACTCACGGGGGCGGGGACTCAGGGGCGGGGGACTCACGGGGCGGAGACTCACGGGGCGGGGACTCACAGGGCGGGGGGACTCAATGGGCGGAGACTCACACCTCATCTATACCACTCCTCATGCGGGGGTTAACTTGATCATCGTTTCTGTATATCTTTTTAATACAAGAATTTAAGAACTGTTGTATAAATAAATAAAAAATATTTTTTTTAACTCCAATATATTTGCACATTTATTTTAAGAAATTTTACTACAATTCTGCAGAATAGTGACCTAAATTATTCAACACAATTGATTTTTGGCAGGGCTAGACGTAAAGGCATGTTTTCTTCCGCCTGATACCTCTGTTCACCTAACAGTTAACAAGGTAACTAGGAGCTAGGCAACTATTGTGGGTCCCATCCTGGGGAAGGTCAGTGGCAGGCTTGGTGCGAATTACATGATCCTAACACACACACTTCCTCTCCTGGACAACTGGAAGCGTCCACTTGTAACAGCAGCAGCGGCCTTATTCCTAACATACACACACACTCTTGTCTCATCTTTAGGTATTAAAAACAAAAAAATATTTAAAGATACAATTCTCAGTCAAATTTACAATTTTTGGTTCATTACTAAACTGATATCAAGAGCCGTTTTTCTTGTTTTCAAACTTAAAGGCTTGAAGTTGTCTTCAGTGAGCTCCACCCGCCACTTTATAATCTTGAAGCCTATTGACACCCTGGTGTCGCCTAATGTCACTCGGGCAATTTATATTTACCTCTGTTTTAGCATCGCTGCAGATTTATTAAACACACACACTGTGCTGTTTGGATGCCGGACCAAGAGGGGCACCATGTTATTGAACTTGCCCGAAACCCGAAACTTGCCCGAAACTTGCCCGAAACGCTATGCGTATTAGTGGCTTTAAGTATTGTATGTACTAGCTCTATCTTTAAATCCAACATTATATTTTGTAACTCATCCTCTATGCCTGTACCTTTACCTGAATAATAAATCTAAATCTAAATCTAACTTCTCATCCCAAAATGATAGTACCTACAGTTACTAAGGATGGAGGCACACAATATGCACTGTGTTTTGTCCTGAAATTACAAAAACTTGTCCTTCTTTTTGTCCTGAAATGATCCTCGTGAAGTTAGCGATAATGGCCCTCTAACTCCTCCCCCCTACTCTCCTCTACTAACTTGTTACATAAGCATGATAGTTAATAGTTATGGCCCGGCCGCAGAGGAGTGAGACTGGCAACTGTCAATATCCTTGACCTGACGTTAGCTCAAGAGCGGTGGCGTTAGATCAAGAGCAGTGGCGTTAGATCAAGAGCAGTGGCGTTAGATCAAGAGCAGTGACGTTAGATTAAGAGCAGTGGCGTTAGATCAAGAGCAGTGACGTTAGATTAAGCGCAGTGACGTTAGATCAAGAGCAGTGACTCAGGCGTGACACTAGAGGTTTCGGCCTCTTGCTTGACTATGAGAACTTCAATATTTAGGGACACGCGTACATCAAAAATATCACTGTTGACATTCTAATAATCACTGCTAATGTCACTCTCACATGTTTAAACAAATTAAATTATAAATGATATGGATCGACTTATCCATTATCTGTTAAATAAGAATCAACCACAGTAATAATAATAATAATTTAATTCGATAGACAAGACTGAATCGTACAAGATAAAATGGTTTCACAGAGGATAAGGTAATTGCTTATTATATAAAGTCATTAGTTACGTGTAATCAAATGTTGGTACTTACAGCCCGATATGTCCTCTTTTGTCCCATATGTTTTTGTTCCTTGCCATCCTTGCATACATGAAGGTTGTATATAATATCGAAGAAGTCCTCCACGACCGCCACCTTTTTGAAGCAAATTCTATCGTGTCCCTCAGGATCCTGAAAAAGAAAACGTACCCTATTATAGCGTCGTCAGAGAAAATGGAAGTATATTAAGGTATAACTATGTAAGAATAAAATTGAGGAACCTACCGATTGTAATTTATAATTAAATTGCTTTTGCTTGCCGATTGCTTTTGTTAGTTTTATTTATTTATTAATACATACAGAATTCTCAGGGGGAACGGACCGGGCAGACAAGAACAGACAATTTAGCATAGGTCGTACACGGACAAGGGGACACAGATGTGAGTTATAAGTAACCAAATGAGACAACACAAAATATTTTGTTCAGTCAGGAGAGTGAACAATCTGAATGTGGCGACAAACTCTATATCCATTTCTAAATGTTGATATCATAGAGCCCAGTAGGCTCTGGAGGCTATGTACCAGTCGATTAATGGTTGAGAGGAGGGACCCAAGAACTGTAGCTACTCTTTCAAATCTATACAGTCTCTGTGAGGCCTAAGCTAGAATATGCAGCACCAGCCCGGAACCCGCACTTTGTGATAAACAAACTAAACTTACGAGAACATTAGCGTCTTAATTAAGAGTATGAAGCTAAGAGGACAGGAACTCAATCTCACAAACCCTGAGGACAGCAGAGGGGATATGATCACTACACACTGAGAGGAATAAAATAGATTATTCTATTGATATCTATAGAAGTATATACAAATACTCATTGATTATATTCAAATCCCGCCTACCAGATGATCCCTGAAGACAGCAATCAACAGTCCAGGGGCCAGATTCACGAAGCAGTTACGCAAGCACTTACGAACGTGTACATCTTTCCTCAATCTTTGACGGCTTTGGTTACATTTATTAAACAGTTTACAAGCATGAAAACTTGCCAATCAGCTGTTGTTATTGTTATAAACAGCCTCCTGGTGCTTCGGAGCTCATTAACTGTTTAATAATTGGAAACAAAGCCGCCAAAGATTGAGAAAAGATGTACAGGTTCGTAAGTGCTTGAGTAAGTGCTTTCGTGAATCTGGCCCCAGCTTACTGACGATAAGTTAAGAACTGACGTGACGGTCAGTGTGCTTGGGGACCGCTCCTGCACCGCTTACCACCCATCAGGGAGGCTATATCCCCCATATCGCCAAGTCTTTGATCACATCTTCATGTGGGAACTCTGCCACTATAAGAAGAATGTGGTTATTCTGCATGCTTAGATCACCGTTTTCTATTATTGCCCAAACAATTATTTTTTTGGGTAATTGTGCCCACTACAATTTTGTCCCCATTGCCTCAGAGACACTTGGTGGCTTGGGTAAAAGTGCTGCAAGTTTTTTGAAGGAGTTGGGGTCCAAGCTAATTGAAACAACTAGAGACCCCTAGAGCCGCCAGTTTTCTCTTTCAGCGCCTTAGTGTGGCGATCCAGAAAGGAAATGCTCACTGATCCAGAAAGGAAATGCTCACTGCTTACTGGTTCCTGCCCGCCATCTGAAGAGCTGGAGGAGCTGTACAACTTGTGACAAGCAGCCTTGTACCCTGCATGTAACCAATGTTGTAACCCTTTTTATGTAACAAAATTTTAAAATAAAATTAGATATATATACGCACACACTTAAAGAATACGGGTGGTAGGGGAAGAAAATATCAAAGTGTTCAGTGAGAATCCACAAGGTCTTCTCTGAGTCCCTGAGTACTCTTTTGTTTTCTTCTCCGGGGCTATGGGTCCCTACACTTGCACCAGAGGTGGTACTCCTATATATATATATATATATATATATATATATATATATATATATATATATATATATATATATATATATATATATATATATTACACACACAGGGGGGGACAGCCACTTAAGAGCCAATTAAGAGAAAATGGGACAAGAAGACATACGTAAAAGCTAAAAACACAAATAAGGTGAAGGAATGTAAAGATATACTCATACCCAGTACGGGAGAGTTACCAAGTGGCGTGCACTAGAAGAAGTAGTAGAAGCCACCTCCATTCAGACATCTGATTTCAAGGTCAGATATAACAAAGAACTGAACGTCAGTAAAGTTAAAAAAAAAAACACAAGATAAAACAGGACCAATAGAGAGGGCGAGAGTCACTGATGGGAAAGCACCAGAATGCCGAAGCACCAACCACCTCTGAAATTTCCAGCGGTTTCCTGTCGTATTTTCCAGGTGGCTGGTAGTGTAGGTGGGTGTGGTGGGCCTGCACACACTCACACACACTCTTACACACACACACACACACACACTCACACAGACACTCACTCACTCACACTTCTTACTAACCACGTTAGCAAACTTTCCAACCTGGTTTCTGGATGACTTCCTTTCTATTTTACTTGCAAATGAACGTCCAAATTTCCTGCTATTATTTTCCTTCAGGACACCGGACCAGGAGAGGAGGGGCGGCGGCCTCGCCCTTCAACACAGACAAACACGAACTAGGGGAAGGGGGGGGGGGGAGGGAGGGAGGAGGGATATGGGGCGAGGTAACACGAAGGGGGTGTAAAGAAGATAGGGTCGTCTTCCTCGGTGTTAACTCCACCTCCTCTTTCTCCTCTTCTGCTTTACTGGGTTTCGTCTCCTTAGCTTCCCCCCTCCCTTTTCTTTTCCTCATTCCTGGTCTCCTTCCCACCACCTTCCGGGCACCTGCCCTCTCCCCTCGCCTGCCCTCCCCTCACCTGCCCTCCCCTCACCATCTGTTGACCCTTACTGAATTTGCCACACTGAACGAGCACCGTGAGAGCAGCACCCAGGTGTGGTGGTGACCAGGTGTGGCAGTGACCAGGTGTGGTAGTGACCAGGTGTGGTGGTGACCAGGTGTGGCAGTGACCAGGTGTGGCAGTGCCCAGGTGGGGCAGTGACCAGGTGTGGCAGTGACCAGGTGGGGCAGTGACCAGGTGTGAGGACACAGATCAGAGAGGGCAACTATACCAGGCTGAGAGAGAGAGAGAGAGAGAGAGAGAGAGAGAGAGAGAGAGAGAGAGAGAGAGAGAGAGAGAGAGAGAGAGAGAGAGAGAGAGAGAGAGAGAGAGAGAGAGAGAGAGAGAGAGCCACCCATGACGGTCGGGCAGGGCCAACAACAGTTCAGAGCGAGGGGGGGGGGGGGGGGGGGAGGGCCACAATCTGGCACAAAGCCCACAGGAGACTATGATTGGACCGCATAAAAGACAGAGCACATGATTGGCTGGCCGGTAATCCAGTCGTTACTCAGGTCCTCGTTATTAACAACGAGCCGTCATGCGCAGGCAAGGGAATTATACCGGATGGGGCAAGGGGGTGTCCTCACCTGCTTAAGCTTGACAAGTTAAGTATATTTCTTTTCTTAAGTCCCGCCCTTCGACCATCTAATGTGTTGACCTAATGGCTTCGATAGCATCTTCGTCTACTCCGTTCCACTTGTTCACGACTCTTAAAAGTCTAACAGTTCTTTCTGACGTCCCTGTGGCTCATGTGCTTTTCCCAGTTCCCAATTATGTTGTCACCCCCATACTTATCCTGTGAGCGGTAGCGCAAAAAAAGATTGCAGATTGCATACAAATTATTTTTCTACTCTTCCTTCCTTCCTTCCTTCCTTCCTTCCTTCCTTCCTTCCTTCCTTCCTTCCTTCCTTCCTTCCTTCCTTCCTTCCTTCCTTCCTTCCTTCCTTCAGTGTAATAGGTTCAGCTCCCTCAGTCTTTCAACATAGTTGGTCCTTCAGGTCAGGAACAATCCTTGCTGCAAATTTTGGGGTATTTTTCTGGTTTTATTTGGTGCTTCTTTGGGGGGAGGGGTTCCATGCTGGTGCAGCGTACTCAGTAATTGGTCCCACACAGGATGTATACAGCGCTCGCAAGGGACCTTTGTCAGCGTTCCTGTAGGTGTTTGTGTGTGTGTGTGTGTGTGTGTGTGTGTGTGTGTGTGTGTGTGTGTGTGTGTGTGATAACATACAAGGTGGAGGGTGGGGCTGGTACACAGGGCGGAGGGTGGGGCTGGTACACAGGGTGTGGCAAGGGCAGCCCTCAGCAGGGTCCAGGCGGGTGTGTGCGACAGTGTGCGAGTGGCGGACGTGAGACGTGGCAGGTGTGTGGTAATTATAACAGGTGTGGGCCACAGGGAGGTGGGTTGGCATGCAGGTGCATGGCAGAGTGAGTGTGGGTGGAGGAGTGTGCGCCGAGTGGCAGTGTGGGTGGGTGGCAGAGTGGCAGAGTGGGTGGGTGGGTGGCAGAGTGGGTGGCAGTGTGGGTGGATGAGTGGCAGTGTGGGTGGGTGGGAGGGTGGCAGAGTGGGTAGGTGGGTGGATGGCAGAGTGGGTGGGTGGGAGAGTGGGTGGGTGGCAGAGTGGGTGGGTGGGTGGCAGAGTGGGTGGGTGGGAGGGTGGCAGTGTGGGTGGGTGGCAGTGTGGGTGGGTGAGTGGCAGAGTGGGTGGGTGGGAGGGTGGCAGTGTGGGTGGGTGGCAGTGTGGGTGGGTGAGTGGCAGAGTGTGGGTGGCGGAGTGTGTGTGGATGGAAGTGACAGTAGATGAGGGTGTTAGTGGGAGGGTGTATGCGGGCGGGGGGGGGGGGGGGCACAAACACCGGGGCTACACCAGGGTAAACAGCGCGCGGGGCGGCAGTGGTGTGAGCAGGGCGGGAATAATGTGGGTGTGTGGCGGGGTGGAAGGTGGTGGCGGGAGGTGGAGTGAGGGCGGGAGTTTTGAAGGAAGGGGGGAGGGTGAGTAAAGTGGGCGGGTGTAGCGGGGGGGGCGAGGGGGCGGGGGGGGGGGCCCACTGGGTGGCCGCGGCGACTCTCGTTACACAAAGTGTGGGCGGCCCCAGCAGGTGGTGACGGGCGACGCTGGTGACAGCGGGGAGGGGCGGGGTCTGGCAAGTGGGGTGGGGCGCAGTAGGCGGGGCGCGACAGGTGGCGTGGGGCGTGGCCAGCTGGGTGGAGAGTAGTAGGCGGGGCGCCACATGTGGGGCGGGGCGGGGAGCAGGCAGGGTGAAGAAGGGCAGGGAATGCGAGGAGGGGTCCGGCGGATGGGGCAGGGCGAAGCTGGAAAGGAGGCGAGGGGCGTGT